AACAGCAACCAAAACCAAACAGGAGACATTCTACCTAACAAGTGGCCTTATACTTTCTCAGCATGTTACTCAGAACTGTTCCAGGTTAGCGGACATCAAGGAGATAGCACAGCTCAGTGCAATAAGGGATGTGACTCAGTTCCCTGACAAGTAACAACATTTGAATATGAACTGTGAATAAGAGACATGAGCACTGTATCCATGTTAAATTCCCTGATGATTTTGATCATTGTGATATGGTGGTAACACAAGAGAATTTCCTTGTTTTCAGGACAGAAACCTAAAGTATTTAGATGTGAAGAAACATAAGGCCTCCAACTTGTGCGCCCACACACACCCCCACTCCTTGCGGGAAGGAAAACGATATAAGAAATGAAACTAAATACAAACTACTAGAGGGCCTGGGAACTAGCTCAGTGGTTCCTTCACCTGCCTTACAAGCACAAGGACCTGAGTTCAATCCCAGGTACAAAGAAAAAAAAAATTGCATAAACTACTAGAGAAGGTAGATAGAGTGTATTGTGGAGTTCATATTGCTATTTTTACAACTTTCCTGAAAGTTGAAATAAAAACAAAATGAAGTTACCCCCAAAATATATAAAATGAACTATCCAACTCTCCCCAAAAAATTAAAAAAGGAGAGAAGGAAGGGGAGGAAGGAGGGGGGGGAGGAGGGGCAAATTTCCTCTGAAGTCTCATTCTCAGTATGTACACAGCACTGCCATTCCACGTTAGTTAAGTAGGCAACCTACATATTACTCTATTTGGAATTTGCACACAAGCAATTAAGAGGAGAAAAACACTAATCAGGGTGGGGTGGGAGAGAGAAAACCAGCCCTGTAACCTAAATAAACAAAAGGCTGTCTTCAAACTCAGGAAACATGTATTTTTGATGCGATGCTTAGCAGAGTTGTACAAAGTGACAGTTGTAGTATGTGGCTTTTGTATCCAGGGTAACAAGCAACTAAAGAGTTCCCAGTATCTCCATCTACTCCTCCCCTGCTGCCATACCCACATGACCTTATTACTACACAGAATAAAACAGAATCATTAAAAGTCAGTACACAGAGTGACAAGAAATTATATTCCTGTGGCCCTGGGAACCACTTGTATAGAAGGACAATCTTCACTAAGTTGCTTAGAGCCAAGTATTCTTCATAGCAAATAACCATAGCATTCTTTTTAAATAAATGCACAAATAAAAATGAGCTTAAAAACAGGAATTGTTAGGGAATTGATCATGTTAAAGTATGCTGTGACACTGTCATCACAGGCTGCATTCTCCTGGTACCTCTTGGTTCCTAAAATGACCTCTTGCCCTTATCTCTGGTTTCCCTCCCCCAAGGCCACAGCGGTGGGGAGAAGTTGAAACCTGTGTCTGCAGGGCTGGACCCATAAAAAGCAACCTGGCCCGTGATAGGTTTAAAGTAGCCCACTCATATATAAGCAATAGCCCAGCCCAAAACTGATAAAAGGACCTTCCTTTCTTTGTTCTTCTCTTCTCTTCTGTTCCTCTCTTCTTCCTCTTCTCTGTCTCTGCTCTCTGCTCTCTCTCTCTGCTCTTTCTCTCTGCTCTATCTCTCTCCTCCCACCCCTTGAATAAAATCTCCAGTCGGACCTCTTGGTGTGTGTGTGGCCTAGTTGTTGAGCGTCACTATCCCCTTTCAGGAATGACAACAAAAAATGAGGAAGCCTTAATGTGAAAACGTGTTGAGAGAGAAAAATAGGCTTCTGACAATTAGTTATAATCTCAGAATGTTAATGGCCTCCCTGCAAGCAAGAGGAATTATAATTGGTCTCCAGCGGCCTGTTTATCCTGCCTAGATATAATTACAAGATACAGTTCCTGCAGTTTTTACCAATCCATTCACCCAACAACCAACATTTATTCAGTACTGACTCTGGGCCTGGCACTGTGCTGGGTGCTGATGGTGCAAAGATGCCATGCCCCCATATTTAAAGGGCTTGCTGTCTCGGGAGCAGTCAACAACTTTACAACTCAATTGCTAAGTGACAGAAGACAGCTATGCACCAGCCCTTATGACTGAATAAAGGAGAATCACTAACATGCCTTGGAGTATCTAGAAAGATTTCAAAAAGGAAAATGCCTACGCATATGAGAACCCACGAATCTAGCATGTAAGCTGCTCTATCTGGTTGTCCCAATCACATAAGCACCACAATCAACTGACTATAGCTGCTAACAGGAATGAAAAGCCTAGTGAAAAGTCATACATTCTGTCCACATGACATGCGGTATCTTTGGAAGTGAGAAGTCATTGCTCCAAAGCAGCACGGTGGGTGTGTGTTCACCTATATTCGGCACCTTCATCCCACATGGCTTCCAAGAGAGTTCTAGCCAGGCAT